GAGTGTGTGAGGAATAACCATGGTGAGTCGAGAGTGTAACATGTGAGTGTGTGAGGAGTAACAATGGTGAATCCAGAGTGTAACACGTGAGTGTGTGGGGAGCAACAATAGTGAATCCAGAGTGTAACACGTGAGTGTGTGAGGAGTAACAATGGTGAGTCCAGAGTGTAACACGTGAGTGTGTGAGGAGAAACAACGGTGAATCCAGAGTGTAATACATGAATTTATGAGCAGTAACGTGGGGGTAACCAGAGACTAACATTGGAGTATGTGAGGAGTAATGCAGGAGTATCCGGAATGTAATACATCAGTATACAAGGATTAAAATGGGAATACCCTGAGAGTTACACGGGAGTAAGAGACTAGTAAAGTGGGAGTAACCAAGAGTAACAGCGGAGTGAACACAGAGCAATATGCAAGAGAGGAGTAATGCGGGAGTAACCAGAGTGCAAAGCAGGAGTGAGAGAGGAATAATACAGGAGTATCCAGAGAGTAATATGTGAGCAACCAGAATGCAAAGAGGGAGTGAAAGAGGAGTAACGGGAGTATCCAAAGCGTAACATAGAAGCATGTGAGGTGTAACACAGGAGTATCCAGAGAGTAATGTGGGAGTATGTGAGGTGTAATATGAGAGTAACGTGAGAGTAATCAGAGAGTAACAGGGGAGTAAGAAAGGAGTAACGGGGAATAATCGGAAAGTAACAAGGTACTATATGAGGAGTAATGAGGGAGTTTCCAGAGGTAGCCTGGAGTTTCTTAGGTGTAACCTGGGAGGAACCAGAGTGTAACACGGGAGGAAACACAGAGTAACACAGGGGTAAGAGAAAAGTATCTGAAGCCCAACAGCGCAGTAACAGAGACACGTACGACTTCTCCTCGCTGACCGGGGTGCCCAGGAAGCCCGTCCTTGCCAGGGGGGCCCTGTGGGGAGGAAAACAGAGAGGTCAGTGGGGCAGGGGGAGGAGGTCAGTGGGAGGGAACTGGGGAGCAGTCAGGAGGGCAGGGGAGCCAGCTGGGGGGCCGGGTGGGAATGGCAGTGGGAGAGGGCTGGGATGCAGGCAGGGA